CTGACGGGGGTGCCAGGAGCCAAGATGCTTGCTTCTGGCTATCGTTCGCCCGTCCTCCAGGTATGTGCTGCACGCTTGTCTGAGGAGCGACCCGACACTTAAAGGGCCAGGTTTTTTGTTTTTATTTTTGTTTTTCTTTTCCTGGCATCAGAAATTTGCTGGATTTTACAATTTTCCAGATGCTTAAGTTCTGGATAGCGCAGGCTTTACTGTATACATTTTTTAGATAACTTGATTTTTATTAATTTAGGAAATAGTATAAAATACTCATTACCTGTGTCAAGCTGCAGATAGAGCAGGAGTACATTAGAAATAGGAACTAAATCACACACATACAAACACAATACCACTTAAATTTTATTAAACTAAATTTAATTGATACCTAAATGTTTCACGTCTGCAATTGCAGTAGTCTCCTAAGTTGCTGGCTCAGTGGGTTGTGCTCACCCTTCAAGAGCTGGAGAGCCATTCTTTTATCAGATGAAGGGGCCAGTCTTGCTTCCATTCTGTTGTTGACTTAAAAGGATAGGAAATTAATTTTTGCTAGTTAATTACAGCTTCTGTGTTAAGATGTACTCAGCATTTTCATGGACTGTATCATCATATTGTGATGTCAAAATGTCATGTGATTATTGTATGGAGCTCTGTAATTCTATCTCAGTTTCTTTACTCTTCATCCCTGCATCTCTTTTCCTGGCTTCTGGGAGAAAAAATCGATCTCTTTGGCTCCAGTTCATTTTCTAAATACTTGCCTTTCATGAGACAGGAGGGAGCACTCCTCTGAGAGCCATAAGTAGGACCCTAAAGTGAGGGCTTCATGAAGACAGACAACAGCAGGTTGAGTATCATTTCTCAGTAGTATTCAATTTAAAATTGGAAATCAAGACTCTGCCACATTTACATACAAGATTTAAAACTAAGAGTTTACGTTGCATCTTGATCTCATCAAAGTCAATGAATGGATGTTTTGCCATTGAGTTACTGTTATTTGTTATTCCATTACCAAAGTAACTCATGGATCACAACCCTGTGGGTGTGCTAGGTGTTGTACAAATAGAACAAGATAGTCCCTGCTCCAAATAGATCACAATCTTAGTATAGGGCAATAGACAACAGATGAAAACAGAGATGGGGACATAAAAGGAAACAATGAGACAGTATTGGTCAGTATCACAGGCAATGATGTCAGCATTTTCCATAGACATCTCAATGAAGGAGAGTGTGAAGGAGGATAATGAGGCAGCTTTATGGATAGTTCCAGGGAGCTCCTCCCAAGCATGAGAGGCAGTAGGGGAGAAGGCTGAAAAAGTGTTTGAAAGTTTAAGATGTTCTGGAGGAGCAGGCTGTTTGTTATGTAGCCTGACTAATGCATTTTGAAAAGCATTCCAGAGTAAATTTAATGTAATTAGAAACATCCCTATTTAACAAGCTCACTTTAAAATACTTGTCTTTCTCTTTCCTGTTGAGCTATTTTAAAACTATTTGTTTGCTGTTAAAAATAGTATTCAAAGATTGAGTCAATATATCTTCTTGCATGAAAGGAAAAATGCTGAGGAAAATTAAATGGTGATATAATCCCATAAAACAAAGGGGATTATTTTTTCTTTCTATTCTCCTTAATGTTTAAAATATTATAATTCGTTAATTGCAGCAAGAAGAGCCACATGTTAATTTTGGTTCTATAGAGTAAAATGTCTTGCATATAAAAAACTTTACTCTGGTTTATGGCTTCTGCAGCTCATAGTCAACATGTGTATATATACAATTCAGTAGGCATATCTAAACACAGTGCCTATTTGAACAAAAAAACAGTAAGGTTATAGCGAATGTAACAAGAGTTTCTTTTCATGGTCATTTAGAGCAAAATCTTGCATGCTTTTTTTTCCTCCAGCTGTCTGCTGTTTTTGGGGGATTTGGGTAATTATATCGTTTCTTAAATTGTGATTATAGCAAGACTGTCTTTCCAGGCTTCTGTGGGTAAAGTTGGAAAGCAACTAAATGATTTTAAGCTTTCTTGGTGAGTTGTGTAATGTGTCTACTGTATTTATTTAGTAGCCAAGTTTTTAAATCCTTAGATCACAGCTATAAAAGGGAATTAGGCACATCATTATTCTGCCCAGGCTCCTTTTTTGAAATTTGTTGTGGCTATCACTGCAGCCTAGCAGATAACCCTAAAGTCTATTTTTGTGTGTTCTGTGTTAAAACTTAAAGGTATACATAACTGACTCTATTTTGTGTGTGTTAGAATTGTAATTTACTTTTGATACGACCTTGGGTTATGTCTAATGCTTGCTTTATAGAATTGGCTGTGTGTTTTTTTTTTTAAAAAAAAGTATGTAATATAAAAAACTTACCTTTTAAAAAAGACCTTATATGCTTGACCTCTCTGCAGTTAACTGACAGTGGTACAGGTTGAATCCCTCTAAACCAGGATGCTCTAGTCCGGCAACATTCATGGTCTGTTAGGACCATGGATGTTCCAAGACTAGAGAGTCTCGGTGGAAGTCTGGCAGCTGGGAGTCCTGCAGGGCAGCGAGGTGCCAGTGGGGCTGAGGACCCGGCGCACATTGGTGGAAGGTGGGCTGCCCAGCATGGCAGGGAAGCGGGGAAAGGGGTGGACCAGTAGTACAGGAGGGCTGGTGGTAAGGGGATAGGGGATGAGCCACCTGGAGGGGTGGATGATAGTAGGAGGGCCCGATAGTATATTGAGAGATTTTTAATAGCATCAGTCTAGCTACTTAGCCTGGACTGTCACATCAGTAGTAGGGGAAGACACTAGCTTCTCTCATGAGTTTCCCTAGTTACATCCTGACACTCTTCATCTCCCTGGATACTGCCACCTGGCTCAGCATATGTGCTTGAGTTTCTTGACTACAATGTATGCATATAAAATCAGAATAAAGAAACCTAATCAAAACTACCTAATATAAATAGTTCCTATTACTTGCTACATTATATCACTGAAAGCACTTGTGAATCTTAACTCATTCTCACAGCATTCTTATGCATCTGGTTAGTAATGTAATCCTCGTTTAGCAAACAGGGAAACTGGGGGAATTTTTTTGACCAAAACAATTTTTGGCAAATATGCAGATTGGATGTCTCCAAAATATTTTGGGAATTTATGTTGATTTTTGCCAATTTGTTTTGTTAAAAAAAACCCAATAATAATCAAAACATTTTGGTTTTGACATTTTCTAAATTAAATATTTTCAATTTTTATTTCATGTAACTTTTCATTTTGAAATTTACATTTTATTTAAAAAAAAAAACCTGAACATGTAAAAAAAATGCTCAAATGAAATTTAAACCTTTTGTTTGGCTTACTGTTGCTATTACAGTTTCTCAGAATTGCCAATAAGCCAGAACATCCATTATTCTCACAGTTTTTACAGCAGAGTATAAGTGATTTGTCCAAGGCCACAGAATGTGTTCGTGTCAGATTCAGAAGTAGAAAGCAGCTATTTCTGGCATCCAGCACCGTGCTTGGAGCATGCTGCCTCTCTAAGTAAAGAACGTAAGTCAAAATATAAAGTAGTCCCATATTTGCAGTAAAGGTAGGTAGTTACTTTAAAATACAAACCTACCTTGAAATTTACCAAGTAAAGCAGCTGTCTGATTGTTTTAGACACTATCTACACCAATGGGAGTGGTTCTCCCTTGGGAAAGATAATTCATCTTGGTATGAAAGAGTAGGTTCAATCTAGTGCAAGTCACTTAGGCCTTTTTTTAAATGTTTTACCCAAGGTGCCAAAGTCTGTTAGACTTCCTGCTTATAGTGTGTATACTGTGAAATCATGACAGAAGCTGAAAATTGAATGCTTTTTTATCCATACTGACTACTTTTGCCTATATATTTTCCTTTTTAGTAATGGGATAATGTATTTCATTTTAACATCTAGGTTAATTTAGCATATGTATTTACTCAAAGGTGTCTTCATCTGCTTAACACCATTGTCATATGTATTTCAGAAATATGGATACACTCACCTTTCTGCAGGCGACCTCCTTCGAGATGAACGAAAAAGACCAGGCTCTCAATATGGAGAACTAATTGAAAAATATATTAAAGAGGGAGAAATTGTACCAGTTGAGATTACTATCAGCTTGTTGAAAAGGGTAAGATAATTAATATTGTTATCTTGATGGTTCAACTTTCCAAAAATATTTCCCTCCCTTTGAAGTGAGAGGAAAATGATAGGCAATGGGTGCATGTTATATACTTTGCATCTCCCTAGATTATGGTTCCTATAGTAGGCAAGAGATAATGTGTTTTCATTATGCTTTATATAAAGAGGGCACTTGATACATTTTATTACTTATATCATGTTTTCTCTGAAGTTATTAACAGAAACTAAAAACCAAGTACGTTCAGTGCACGTTATATTTTGTTAGAGTACATTTCAGCATCTTGTAGAATATGAAATAACTTCCCCAACCAGATTTGTACGTAGCATGAGATTGTTGACAACTTGCTTGACAAGTTGGAGGCCAGAGTAAATTCTTACGTGTGGCTCTGAAATTGTAAAACAATGAATAGTGAAGATTATAACAATAATATTATTGCTAATGCTCTGCAGCAGTGAAATGAGTGCCTTGAAGACAGTGCTGGAGTAAATTCTGTGGATCTGTGAATGATCAAATTACACAGATTAGTACCCCCCACAACCATAACACACCTTTCGAGATTCATGGGTCCTGTATATGCCTATCCTCACGTGTGGTATAAATCATCCAGGGCACCAAAAGCCCCAATGACAGCTATCTGAGTGAAAAGCGACAATTGCCAGGCTCTCAAATGAACACTGTCAGAAAAATTATAAAAGTCACCACATCATCCATGGGTGAACATTTTTTTTTTTTTTTAAACAAAGTAATTCCATATTTGATCTTTGAGTCCTTATCCTCAAAGGAAGTCTGCACAACACCTTCAAAAGATGAGCCTACAAGCTTAAATTCATAGCTTTTCTAGACACTGAATATCATGGACTTAATAAAAACACCGGAGTGGTTCATTACAACCTGTAACCCACTAGCTTCTCTTTTCTTGTCCTGTGACTACAGAGGTGTTAACTGGTCACTTCATCTTGAATGACTTCTTACAATATGTATTAACTCCTTATGCTAAACAAGAACCTTACCTTTCCCACACCTGAAGAGCTCTGAGTAAGCACAAAAGCTTGCCTCTTTCATCAACAGATATTGGTCCAGTAAAATTTATAAAAGATCATCTCAAATTAAGGTTTGTAAATCATGTCAATATTTGACCGTAATTCAGTTGACCAAGGTTTTATTTTATATGTAAGAAGTTCTTGAATTGAACTCTGCTATCCATTAGGCTATGGATCAAATAATGGCTGCCGATGTCCAAAAGTACAAATTCTTGATTGATGGATTCCCTAGAAATGAAGACAATCTTCAAGGCTGGAATAAGAATATGGATGGAAAGGCAGACGTGTCTTTTGTTCTGTTTTTCGACTGTGACAATGAGGTATTGAAGTATTGCTGTGTAGCTTTCTTACATGTGTAAAAGTCTGAGGGGTAGTCGTGTTAGTCTGTAACTTTAAAAAAACAAATAGACCTGTAGCAACTTAGAGACTAACAAATATATATATAGTTTCATGAGCTTCCTCTGAGAGAATGGATTTTGCCCATGAAAGCTCATGAAAAGTCTCTGAGGTGCTACAGGACTAGCCATTATTCTTTCTCACATGTTACTTGATGAGAGGAGAGAACAGTAAAAGTGTTGCAGGTACTGAATTTTCCAGTTTCCATGAGCATTGGCAACATGAGAAGGAAGTCCTGGAGTTCAGTTGGAAGCTGTAAAACTGCTTATGTAAAATGGGTTTAATAATCTGACCTTTCAATTTGCCAGCATCATTCTGAGGCTTTGTCAGAGTGATTCAAAATTTTTCATAATTGTTGCATTTTACCAAGTTGCTGAGCAAATTTTTCTAAATTAGTAATTAGATTTCAATGGTATTCTGACAGTGATATCGTAAATTAAAATAACAAATGCCATAATATACTTTGTAATATGCCAGTGACCTTGAAATGTAAGCATTAGAGCTAGTCAGAAACAGAAAGTTTTAAAATGTTAGACAATTTGACCTTCTGTGGAACTTTTAAAATCTTCTTTTAAATTTTTTCTTCCGATTTCAGAATAGTAAATTTTTGAGTTTTGGGGGAAAAAAAATCCCACCATTAAAGTCACCGGTTAAACTTGGGAATTGAAAAGATGACAAGGTGGGTGGGGAGGGGGAAAATGCCAAAGAAGCAGCCATAGGCTACATTTTTTCATTGGAAATTTCTATCAATTGGGCTGTCTACACATTGGCGCGATCTTACGCCAAAGCGGCCGCTTTTGCGCAAAAACATGCTGCCTGTCTACACTGACGGGGAGTTCTTGCCCAAGAACACTGATGTTCTAATGCATGAAATCAGTGCTTCTTGCGCAAGAACTATGATGCTCCTGCTCAGGAATAAGCCCTCTTGTGCAACTGTTCTTGTGCAAGAGGCCAGTGTAGACAGGCAACATGAATTTCTTGTGCAAGAAAGCCCGATGGTTAAAATGGCCATCAGAGCTTTCTTGCGCAAGAGAGCATCTACACTGGCATGGATGCTCTTGTGCAAAAGCACATCTCTTGCGCAAATGTACATGCCAGTGTAGATGCTCTCTTGCACAAATACGTTAAAGAGCACTTGCGCAAGATCATGCCAATGTAGACGTAGCTTTAGATTAAAAAAATCTCAATGACAAAACTTTGATTTTTTTGAAAAAAAAAAAAATTCTTGACCTCCTTTGCCTCCAAAGAAAGTTTTTGTTCAAAATTTTGTTGACTAGCTAGAGTAATCCATGTTAATATCTGAAAGGTCTTGCACTTTAAATTAAATCAAGGATGTATTGCATGTGAAAAGCTGTTTTAAAAGAACTCCTTGCATCTTGACATATATTTGCTTGCTATGTTACACATCAGGATAATTTAATACAGTGACATTGACGGACAAAAATTAATATGCTTGTCATTTAGACCTAGTAAATTATCATGTAGTATGTGTACCTTAAATATTACTGGCTTGCATTTCCAAAAGACTAATGGTTGGGTTTTTTTGTTTTGTTGCTGTATCCATTTTTAGTGGCCAAACTTGACACCTAGGGTATGTCTAGATTACATGGCTTCGTTGATGGAGCCAGGTAGATTTGTTTACTGGGCACAGAGAAATGAAGCAGTGATTTAAATAATCGCTGCTTCATTTAAATTGAAATGGCTGCTGAACTGTGCCGATCAGCTGTTTGTTGGCTCAGCGCGCTAGTCTGGACGGTTCACGGTCGACATCAAGGGCATTTGTCGACCTCCCCGGTAAACCTCATCCCACAAGACATACCGGGGAGGTCAACAAATGCCTTTGATGTCGACCGCGAAGCATCCAGACTAGCGCGCTGAGCCGACAAACAGCTGATCGACACAGCGTGGCAGCCATTTAAATTTAAATGAAGCGATGATTATTTAAATCGCTGCTTCATTTCCCTGTGCCGGGTAGCCTAATCTACATGCCTCCGTCGTCAGAGGCATGTAGCCTAGACATACCCCTAGAGTCTGATTTTTTCAGACAGCGCTGAACACCTGCTCTCTGAAAGTCTTAGTGTTTCACATTGAGCATCCAGAATCATTAGTCGCTTTTGGAACAGCATCGCATTCCCCTCCACTCTTCCATTTCCCAAGCCACAATTAAAAAGGTAGGTGAATCAAAAAACAATTCATATTACAGTCTACCTCTAGCTAATCTTTAGTAAATATATATGCACTGACCCCGTGCGTGCACAAGCTTACTTGCCATCAGATCTGTTTTGCATGTTAATGAATTAGGCCTATTAAATCAAGAACAAAGGTTTGTTGTTAC